CCAATTTGGGACGCCACGCACACGCTTCGTTTCGTGACCCATGGGGAGCTCCACCGAAGGCCCCGGTGCCACCGCCCGCATGCGTCCCCCACTCCCATTTCGGCACACCCCTCACACGTTTCGTGGCGGTGGCACGCACGCGTCCCCCACACCCCTTTCGGCACACCACTCACGATTCGTGGTCCCAGAGGGAGCTCCACCGAAGGCCTCAGTGCTACCGCCCGCATGCGCCCCCCCCCCACCCAGTACAGCGAAGGTTCCAGGTCTGCCGCCCGCATGCGCCCCCCCCACCCAGTACAGCGCTTCGTGTCCCCATAGGGAGCTCCACCGACGGCCCCAGTGCTACCGCCCGCATGCGCCCCTCACACCCAATACAGCGCTTCGTGGCCCCATAGGGAGCCCCAACGACGGCCCCAGCGCTTCCGCCCGCATGCGTGCCCCCCAATACAGCGCCTCGTGGCCCCCTAGGGAACCCCACCGAAGCCAGCGCTTCCGCCCGCATGCGTCCCCCCCACCCAGTGCAGCGTTTCGTGGCCCCACAGGGAGCCCCACCGAGGCCCCCTACCCCCCACCCACTGCAGCGTTCCGTAGCCCCATAGGGAGCTCCACCGAAGGCCTCAGTGCTACCGCCCGCATGCGCCCCCCCTCCCACCCCCCACCACCCAGTACAGCTCTTCGTGGCCCCATAGGGAGCCTCACCGACGGCTCTAGTGTTACAGCCCGCATGCGTCCCCCCAACCCAGTACAGCGCTTCGTGGCCCCATAGAGAGCTCCACCGAAGGCCCCGGTGCTACCGCCCGCATGCGTCCCCCCAACCTAGTACAGCGCTTCGTGGCCCCATAAGGAGCTCCACCGACGGCCCCAGTACCACTGCCCGCATGCGTCCTCCCCACCCAGTGCAGCGCTTCGTGGCCCCATAGGGAGCTTCGGAGATATTCACACTTGCAGCTCACACAACTGCATATGGCTTGGTCCCTCGCCAGGATAATTCTGATGATGCCTGCCGCTAGTGTTTTCTCCATCGATCCGCAGCCATCCGCCTTGCCTCTAGCTGGTGGCTCTCATCCACGACTTTCCCTTCGTCCCCTCGCCGCCCCCTTTGCGGTCCATGTCTCTCGTCCTGCTCGTCCAGGAAAGGAGCAGGAAGAGACGAGGACTTTTTTATTTGTTGGGCAGACCACGAACGTGTTTTGGTGATGTGAGCCGACTGATTATCTGATCTGACTGACTGGCTGACTGACTGATCGCGCCCGTTAGTAGGCCGTCTGAGTGCTGGGCGCCGATTGCGCAAATTATGGCGCAACCAGCCGGCTTTCGGCCGCCGAGTGCGCAACGTATGGCGCCACCCATAGCATGCCGCAGTAGTTTCGGTTGCCGAGCGCGCAATGCGTTGTATAACCAATAACAGGGCTCAGTAGTTTCGGCTGCAGAGCTCGAATCCTATGGCGCACCAAATGGCAGATTGCTTGTTTTATGATCGGCCGCAGAATGCGCAACATATGGCGCACCCCACGGATTACCCAACCCATGGTGCAACCAATGGCGCACATTACGGATTGCGCAACCCGTAGTATCACCCATGGCTGGCGCAACGAAAGAGTCAACCCAAGGATGGCGCAATCGTGAATGGTGCTACTTACGGCACAACTCATGGATAGCGCAACCCGTGGATGTCGCAACCTAGGGCGCAACCCAACCCATGTATCGCAACCCACGGCTCACCTCATCTGTGGCACATCCCCCTGCCAGTTTCCACGGGGTTGCGCCGTGCTTCTGCTCGCTGTTTTCGGGGTGGCGCTGGGGCCTAAGCGGCGATGTGCCTTGTGACTCCTCTTGCTTCGCGGGGTGCACGTCGAGAACGCGTGAAATCTGGGCGTTGGCTGGTTTGCCTTGCTTCCTTTGGGTTAAACATGTTTCCGGGAGAGGGGTGTGGCCGCTCCCACGGCCAGTTGATTTCAGTGTCTTCTTGTTTTTCCTGGAGAGAGGTACGGTCAGGAACGGTTGGTTAGCGTTCAGTCGGGCTTGTCCTTCTACAGGGGGAACATTCAAACATACAAAACACATAATTGGGGGACTATTCTTTGCGTATTTGTGAATATTTTCGGTGCACTATTTCCCAACCTTCCTTGGTTGGGTATTCGTTTTGAATAGAGCAGTGTGGTCTCCACTTCCGCCTTTCCTTCCTCCTGTCTCCCGTCCCGCCTCCCTCTTGCCTCCTCCTGTCTTGCCCGTGTGGGGCTGCGATCTGCGAAACTGTCGCCACTTTCGAGGCCTGCTGGGGGGGCCAGCACAGTGACGCCACGGGCAGACCCAAATTAGACCTCGCCATCCCTGGGGGGGCTGCGATCTGTGAAACTGTCGCCACTTTCGAGGCCTGCTGGGGGGCCCAGCACAGTGACGCCACGGGCAGACCCAAATTAGACCTCGCCATCCCTGGGGGGGCTGCGATCTGTGAAACTGTCGCCACTTTCGAGGCCTGCTGGGGGGCCCAGCACAGTGACGCCACGGGCAGACCCAAATTAGACCTCGCCATCCCTGGGGGGCTGCGATCTGTGAAACTGTCGCCACTTTCGAGGCCTGCTGGGGGGCCCAGCACAGTGACGCCACGCGCGGATTCAAATTAGACCTCGCCATCCCTGGGGGGCTGCGATCTGTGAAACTGTCGCCACTTTCGAGGCCTGCTGGGGGGCCCAGCACAGTGACGCCACGGGCAGACTCAACTTAGACCTCGCCATCCCTGGGGGGCTGCGATCTGTGAAACTGTCGCCACTTTCGAGGCCTGCTGGGGGGCCCAGCACAGTGACGCCACGGGCAGATTCAAATTAGACCTCGCCATCCCTGGGGGGCTGCGATCTGTGAAACTGTCGCCACTTTCGAGGCCTGCTGGGGGGCCCAGCACAGTGACGCCACGGCAGACTCAAATTAGACCTCGCCATCCCTGGGGGGCTGCGATCTGTGAAACTGTCGCCACTTTCGAGGCCTGCTGGGGGGCCCAGCACAGTGACGCCACGCGCGGACCCAAATTAGACCTCGCCATCCCTGGGGGGCTGCGATCTGTGAAACTGTCGCCACTTTCGAGGCCTGCTGGGGGGCCCAGCACAGTGACGCCACGGCAGACTCAAATTAGACCTCGCCATCCCTGGGGGGCTGCGATCTGTGAAACTGTCGCCACTTTCGAGGCCTGCTGGGGGGCCCAGCACAGTGACGCCACGGGCAGACTCAAATTAGACCTCGCCATCCCTGGGGGGCTGCGATCTGTGAAACTGTCGCCACTTTCGAGGCCTGCTGGGGGGCCCAGCACAGTGACGCCACGCGCGGACCCAAATTAGACCTCGCCATCCCTGGGGGGCTGCGATCTGTGAAACTGTCGCCACTTTCGAGGCCTGCTGGGGGGCCCAGCACAGTGACGCCACGCGCGGACCCAAATTAGACCTCGCCATCCCTGGGGGGCTGCGATCTGTGAAACTGTCGCCACTTTCGAGGCCTGCTGGGGGGCCCAGCACAGTGACGCCACGCGCGGACCCAAATTAGACCTCGCCATCCCTGGGGGGCTGCGATATGAGATCCCCGCTTTCGAAGTGGCTAGGGTTGCTCAGGGATTGTAACTAATCAGCTTTATCTAGTCCTTGTCCTGTAGCCAGTGTCCTGCGAGTCTCCCGAATTCCGTCTGCAGACATATGTAACCCTCGCTCCGTCATCGCCCCCCTTTTTATAAAAGTGTCCAAAACTATTTGCGCCCCGCGTTTGCGCAGGGGTTGGGTACGTCGCCAGGGTAATTCTTATTTTTCGTCCAGGATCCGCCTGGGGGGACACGCCCGAACTCAGGTTAGCGCTTCGGGCCGCCAGTTCTGGCGTTCTGGCCCATCACGTTCGGCGCGGCACGCTGACCACGTTTCGGTACCCAAGCGTGGACGTCCCAAGCTCTTCCCAGCCTCCCGCCCCCCGCGAAGCAGCTCGACACGCTGTCAGCTCGCAGGGCACAGCGTGTCGCCGGGGCGGCCGCCGTGACACGCTAAGCAGAGGTTCCTGACCGTACACTGGGGGCGCGCATCAAGAAACCATCTGCTTTTCGTCAGGGCATCCTGGGTTTCTTTGCTCCGCGCGCTGCGCGGTGACTTCCCGCAGCCGTTGAAGCAGCTGCTGCGTTCAGGGCGCTCTGGGTTTACCCTCAGGTGCACCTCGCGCGCGGGTTTTCAGGGTTGGGTTGCTTGCGAGGGTTTCTTGCGGCCGCGCCCGCACTGTAGAGACTGGTTGATGGGCGAGCGGGAGGGAGGGGACTGGGGGCGACATGCGCTATGCCCGCTGCGCTCGTCAAGGTTGTGGCCGGGCGCCGCACGTGGACACTGGCTGCGTGCCGATCGTGCTGTGGCCTGGCTCTCCGTCCTCGATTCTCGTCGGTCCAGACGCCGAGGCAAGGACCACTTCGGGCTCAGGAGGGGTTCCAGTTGCAGGGGCGTTCCTCAGATCTGGGTCGGGCCAGGAGAGCCCAGATCTAGATCTGGATCAGAGTTCCTTAGATCTGGACCCAGATCTAGATCTAGAGCCCAGATCTGGACGTTCCTTAGATCTGGGTCGGGCCAGGAGAGCCCAGATCTAGATCTAGATCAGAGTTCCTTAGATCTGGACCCAGATCTGGATCTGGAGCCCAGATCTGGGCGTTCCTCAGATCTAGATCGGGGAGCCTCGTCGTGGCCGAGGCCCGCCGTGGCCGGGAGAAGCTCCGTCGTTTCTCATTCATTCGGCCTTCCCAGCGGTAACGCGATGGCTGTAGGAGGAGGAGGAGGAGGAGGAGGAGGAGGAGGAGGACGAGGACGAGGACGAGGAGGAGGAGGAGGAGGAGGAATAATAATAATAGTACCTCTGAGTGAGGCACATGATGGCCCTGCGATTTTACGGCGGCACGCGATAGGAATCGCACGATCGACAACAACAGGCGCAGCATGGGTGCAGCCACAAGCAGCCACGACCTCTGGGGATAGCAAGGGGAATGCCCACCGCAGGAACAGCCGAACTCCCTGGTCATGGGCAGCCGGAGGAGTGAGGATAAGTGCATAATGCCACAGGCGAGGGAGTTCCTGGGGCCCAGGGGCGGTCCACTTGTCCCAAAGTCCCTCCCCTGGTACTCACATTGGCCGCATGGGTCTGGGAACCCTTCCTTGAACTTCAGGGTCCCATGTCGGCCTCAGGAGTTTTCAGATATAGTTGTGGATGCCGCCCCGAGGCCGTCAGGACGGCCCAGGATAGCTCAAGAGTTTCCGCGGTATCTCCAGGACGACCCAACAACAACCTGCCTCAACAGAGCCACTCAGAGTTTCCAAGAGACACCCCGCACATCCCAAACCGTACCACAATGTATGTGTGTTCACTGTTTGTTCTCAGACATCCCCCGTTTCACCCTGTGGGCTCCAATATTTTCAATCCTAGACGCGTCACGTATCCCCAACAGCCCACCTAGAAGCGATGCCCCGGCGAGGTGCGTTTATCAGGTAAGTGTAGGAACAAACTTCGGGGTCAACCTGAGCAGATCCAGGATTCCACCATACATGCCTTCGCAGATCTTTCGATATGGGAGCCACTATGCAGCTTACCTTGGCAATCTTGAGGCTCTATTGGGGTAATATCGGAAGCGTTTGCTGCTCTCTTGTGGCCCTCTTTGCCTTTTGGTGCGGACCTTTGGGCCCTTCCTGGGGCCATTGCGGAGGACATCGATCAAAGAAAGGAAGATCCCAGATAGCATCGCCCCTCTGGATCCCGAAAAGTCGTCTCTTGGGATGCTTTTGGGCGCTCTTGGGACCATCTCGGCGCCTTGTTAGGTCTTTCTCGGACTCTTGGGCCATCTTGAAGGCGTCTTAAGGCTTCAGAAGGCCACCGGAAGCGAAAAGGCAAGAAGGCTTAATTCATCAGCGTTCCGTCGGTGGAAGGAGGTTGACCTCTCGGGGCTATCCTTGGGCGGCTCCGTGACCACATGAGGCCGTCCGGGAGCGGTCTTGGGACTTTTGGGAGCATTTGGAAGTTACCTTGAGCGGTATTGCGCCACCGTGCTCCACCTCGGAGGTAATCCCGGGCTTGCTGGCGCCCTTGCGGTCGCGCCTCCTGCATCCCCCCCCGCTCGCCCAGACCCAGCGAGAGGGGGGGGGGGCAGGGCGAGGGCTCGAGCTGCCCTCCCGAGAGGCGGCCGTCTCGCTCGCCCCCGCTCGCCCCTCCCACCACATCGGCAACGCCCGAGTCTCAGCGTCGGCAAGGGTTGCCGCTGGATGGGCTGCCGGCGGGAGCCAGCACGGACGCCGGGTGCGCGGCGCTCGCGAGGGGTGCCGCGCGTGCCAGGCGGGCCTCACGCACCAGGTTTAAGCCGGGCCTGTCCATCTACAGGAGGAATATCCAAAAATAGTCAAAACATAGTCAGGGGACGATGTTTTAAAAACTATGTTTGAGCATTTCGGGAGCATGTTTTGATTATTTTTATTTTTCCGCCCAAAATCCCCCTGCAGGGGGACAGGCCCGAGCGCCAGGCGCCCCAGGGACCCGAGCGTGCCAGATGCGCCGCGGTCTCTCCACAGCCGCCAGGTGTGCAGCATCTAGGGGAGCGAGCAGTGACCTGAACATCAAACCTCGCAGGTCCGCGCAGATGTCTCGGATCGGCGCTGGACCCCCATCCCTGGCGCGCGGAGCGCGCCAGGGGCGGCGCCGGAGGCGCCGCCAGAGGGGGTTCCAGCGCCGACCCGAGGAACCCGCGCGGACCTCCGAGTTGTTATGTTCATGTCATTGTCCGTTCCCCGAAAAGTGCTTCTCTTCGCTGAGGGCAGCGCGGCGGATGTTGCACGCCTTGCAGCGCAGCCCGCTGCACGGTTGCCCAGGGTTCTTAATGGAGTTTTGCCGGAGCTGGGCGCTCGCGGACGCGCATTGCGTTCGCTTCCGCAGGTGAAACAACAGCGTGCTCCACCCACGCCAGGTGTCCCACGTGCGCGGTGCGCGCAGGGTGTGCCAGGTGCGCCAGCACACGTGACAGCACGCACCCTGCTCCTCCTCCTCCTCCTCTTCTTCCTCCTTGCTCCTCCTCCTCCTCCTCCTCCTCCTCCTCCTCCTCCTCCTCCTCCTCCTTCGGTAAACACGCCGACTCCCCACCAATCGTGTCAAAAGACAGCGCGCGGTGGCGGCGAGGTGGTCAGCCTAGTGCATGGTGCCTGCGCCCGCAAGCACCTGTCACTAGTTTTTGACAGCGATGGTGGGCCCTCACAGTATGCGGGCATACCCCAGTCGCCCTTGCTTTAACAACAGTGGAAAGCAATCGCAGGGCGCCCGCGCATGGTCCAATCTTTGCCGCAACGTGCGCTTCGCATTGGTGGAGGAGGGCGTGCATAGGATGGGCAACTTGATGCCACCCCCTTTCCGTCCCCACGGCTAAGATGTGACGTGACCGCGGGCTGCCTGAACATGACACAGTGGTTTGCCGCAATGTGCACTGTGATGTTGCTTTAAAGATCACCACCCACCAACCCAACCCAACCTAACCCGAAGGCCCCGATTTGTTCTCCATTCCCAGTGGGGGGGGGGGGCGTCGGGGAGCATTGAAAAAGCACATATGGAACCCGTACCCCCCCCCCAAACCCGAAATTCGGGTCTTCGGGTTGGGTTGGGGGGGTCTGGTAGGTAGTCAAAAGAGGGTGGTGAGGGCGTCGATCCTGCTAAGAGGGTTTGAAGAGGATGCGCGCCAGCCCAAATCAGCCCAGAGGGCTGGTGGGCCTCTTGCTCTGCCAAGCATCGCTTGGAAAGCCAGAGGCTTCGGCCAGCGACGCGCGCTCGGAGAGCCTGGAGGAACGCGCGTGGGAGGGCGGTCGAGGAGGAATGGCGAGCAGCTGGAGGAACACCAGCAGCTGCAGCTGTGAAGAGGATGACTCAGGATTGGCCTGCCTCCATACATCCCCAGGGCGAGAGTTTTTCCCTCGTGGGCCCGGAACGACGGTTTGACGTCTTGAGCAGACGCGCTTGAGATAACCGCTGTCGGATCCCATGGAATTCAATTATGGTGACGGGTTTGTTTCGGTGGATTCGATTTCCGTCCGCGCGGATCCGATTTCGAATTTTCTGGATCCGCGTCCGGCTTTATTTTTAAAGGCGGATCCGATTCCGACCCTGTCTCAAGTTTAGACCATTAAGTTAAAGGGGGGAGCCGAACGACACCCGATCCGCGGGCCCCGAAACCCGCCCGTTTTAAGAGGCTACGGGGGAAGGGGGTTCGGTCATCAATGTCCCAGGATGGGTCCTGTGCTGTCTCGTGCGCTCTCATCAACTTTCCGCGCGCGCGAGCGCCCCACTCAACGTGAAGGTATCTCCCTCTTCCTGGACGGGCTGCGCGCAACTCGTCCAGACGCCGTCCGTTTCGGCGGCGCCGGTGTTGTCTGTCGAACTCATCATCGCCGTTTTCACCACGAGAGGAACATCTCTCGTCCTGCGTGAGCACGGACAGGTCCAGAGAAAAGGGACCGGCACAGAGGGACCAAGTCGACAGCGAGGGGTCGAGAGGAGGGCGCAGGGAACGGCCGCAGCCCACAAAGCACGACGAGCCCGAGGGAGCCGAGCACGAGGGGACGGGCGCGAGGAAGCTGGGGGGAGAAGGGGAAGAAAGGGGGAGGAAAGGAAATGGAAAAGGAGGAGAAGAATCAGGCGATCGCATACATGGATCAAGGGGGCGTTGATTAGCGACGGGTCCCGTTTCCATGGGAAATCGCGGATTTCCGCCGCCGAACGAGGCGGCACCGGCCGCATTTTGGGGAGGGCGCCTCCCCCGATCCAAGGATTTGGCGACAGCGCGCCAAATCCATGGATCGCTAATCCATGTTTGCGCGCCCTCGAGAGGAGGAGAAGAAGCATCCGATCGGATCAGGGCCCTGCGAAAAAAGGAGCCAGCTGGGGAGCCACTGCGGAGGGCGTGCATCGCTTCGAGGTAGGCCGCGGACCACAATGCCCTCCATCTGGGCACGGCAGGGAGACGGAAGAACGATCGAAGACAGTTACAATCGAATCTGACTAGTAGGTCGACGCTTCAAAATCAGAAGGTTCGCGTCCCATGCCCTCTGCGTTCATGGAGCAATGTGGCCCTCGGGAGGGTCCGTTATCCTCTCGCCCGCCCTCTCCAATTCAACTCGACTGTATCCAGCATGTTCAAGCCCGAATCCAAAAGGGGACTCTGGATACCCCTCGCCTCCGGGCTGCTGCAAGCATCACCATCGTCTCTTGCGGCAGCTGAAGGCGGAGGAGAGGGGCCAGCATAAGCAGTTGGAGGAGGAGGAGGAGGAGGAGTGAAGCGTATTGCAGGGAGACTTCTGCTCGTTCGATACGCACCCCACCCCACCCATCCATTTTCTGGACGGCGGCGCTTCAGGAGACGTCCGCGGGATCTCCTCCTTCTCCACCACCTCCCCTTGCTGCTGTTACCCCTCGATCTTCTCCTTGGCCCCCCCCCCCCCCTCCCCCTGCTGCCGGTGCCCCTCGATCTCCTCATCCATGTTCACCACCTCATCATCGATGCCGTCCTTCTTCACTGCCCCCACCACCTCCGCCGACTCCTCCTCCTCGATCTCCACATCCCTCGGTTTCTTCCTCGGTATGTTTCTTCCCTTCCCATCCCTTCTTTCCTTGAGGTGGTCGTCGTCGTCATCCTGTGTTTGCTGCTCATCCTCCTTCACCGCAGAGGGTCCCTTTCGACCTCATCGAGCTTCGATATCGATTCCAGCCGGCTCGATCTGCCTCAATTCCGACATTCCTTCGATCCGATGCGGGCCGATGCTTGCACGGTTCGGCCGTGCATCGTGGCGTTGCCAATTCGATCATGATTCCGTGTGGACGCGGCCCGGTTCGATGCGCATCCCGATCCCATTCGGTTCAGCGATTCGATGTTCGCCGCTCTTGCCGCAGCCACATCCCTGGAGGGGGATTCCGCGCCGTTGCGCCCGTCTCGGTGCGCCTCTGATGCTGCGCTGTTCGCCGCAGTGTTGGCACCCCGCGCGCTGCGTGCGCGGGCGAGGGCAGCCACCGACAATCAGGAGAGGGGAGCGCGCCGCACGAGGAGGGCCTTCGCCGACGAAGCCCAAGCGGAGGGGGCACTCCTATACACGAGGCCCCTGCAGGCTGCAAGATAATACGTAGTGGTGCTGCACCTCGCAGGTGGGACGCTCCATCACTGGGATGGTGCAGCGGCCACGTGGCCACTATCACGCCCCCGAGAGTCCAGGGGCCAAAGACCCGTGCCAAAAGAAGACATGGCGAGGACGAGGAGGAGGACTAGGAGGAGGAGGCGGAGGAGGAAGAGGGAAGGGGACAGGAGGAGAATGATGGAGAGAGTGGAGTGTAGAGGAGGAGGAGGAAGAGGAGGAATAATAGAACAAGTCGCATCCAGATAAGAAAGGAGCAGGATGAGGAGGGAGTTCGGGGAAGCGCCGAAGGAGCAGGGGAGGGATTACCAATGATATTGCTAATATGGGCACAGAGCAGAACGAGTAGCAGGAACGGGGAGGGCAGGGGACGACGAGGACTTCAGGAAAAACGCGGAGGTGAAGGAGGGACGAGGAGGACAAGGTGGGAGACTGGGGTAATGGTAAGGGGAAACGGGTCGGAAGGGGGATGAGCAGAAGGGGGAAGTGGGAGGGCAAGGGGGAGGACGATGATGATGCTGGGAGGAAGAGGGAAGCGATGGAACGAGGAAGGGAGGGAGAGAGAGAGAGAGAGAGATAACAAAAAAATGGTGATGCTGAGGATGATGACGATGATGATGATGACGATGACGATGATGCTGATGCTGATGATGATTATGATGATGATGCTGATGATGATGCCGATGACGATTATGATGATGATGGTAATGCTGATGATGATGTTGATGATGCTGATGCTGATGATGATGCCGATGACGATGCTGATGATGATGCTGCTGCTGATGATGGTGATGATGATGATGAGGAGGAGGAGGAGAAGGAAGAGGGCCAGGATGAGGAGGATTAGGAGGATGAGGAGGAGGAGGAGGAGGATTAGGAGGACGAGGAGGAGGAAGAGGAGGAGGAGGAACAGAAGGAGGAGGAAGAAGGGGATGGGGAGGAGGAGGAGGAGGAGGAGGAGGAGAAGGAGGAAGAGGAGGAGAAGGAGGAGCAGGAGGAGGAGGAGGAGAAGGAGGATGAGGACGAGGAGAAGGAGGAGGAGGAGGAGGAGAGAAGGAGGAGGAGGAGGAGGAGGAGGAGGAGGAGGAGGAGGAGAAGGAAGAGGGGGAAGGAGGACTAGGAAAAAGGGATGGAGGAGGTGAAGGAGAAGTTGGAGGAGGAGGAGGAGGGACGAGAGAGGGAGACGGACGAGGAAGGATGAAAAGGGGGCGTTAAGGAAGATGAGCGAGGAGCAGGACGATGATGCGGATGCTGATGCTGACGATGCTGGTGATACTAGTGGTGATGATAATGATGATGCTGATGATGAGGAGGATGCTGATGATCATGATCATGATCATGATCACGATCATGATGACACTGTTGATGCTGATGTTGATGATCATGATGGTGTTGCTGATGATGATGGCGATGCTGATGATGATGCTGGTGATGCGAAGGATGATGATGATAATGAGGAGGACGCTGATGCTGATGATGCCGATGATGATGATGATGCTGATGCTGATGATGATGATGCTGGTGATGGCACGATGATGCTGATTATGATGCTGATTGTGATGATGATGATGATGCTGATGCTGCTGCTAATGATGATGATGATGATGCTGCTGCTGCTGTTGATGATGATGATGATGATGAGGAGGAGGAGGAGGAGGAGGAGGAGGAGGAGGATGATGCTGATGATGATGATGATGATGATGATGAGGAGGAGGAGGAGGAGGAGGAGGAGGAGACGGAGACCAGTGGACCTCAGCAACCCAGAGCGAGGCTCGCCAGGTTGCGCATGGAGGTTGGCCCGCAGCCGTTTTGGCTGCAAGTTCAAGGGCCCGTCTGGGCCGCCCATCCCTCCCGCAGGGGATCCGGAGAGATCAGATGGCCATGGTGGCGCGAGCCGTCGCCGAGGATGGCCGAGGATGAGGAGGAGGAGGAGCGAGGAGGAGGAGGAGGAGGAGGAGGAGGAGGAGGAGGAGGAGCGAGGAGCGAGGAGGAGGAGGAGGAGGAGGAGGAGGAGGAGGAGGAGGAGGAGGAGGAGGAGGAGCGAGGAGGAGCGAGGAGGAGGAAGATGCGACAGATGCTCGTGCTGTGGCCAGGACCCAAGGAGCTCCTTGGCGACCTCGCGAGAGCCCCCAGAGCCCGTACCCCTCGCACTCGGAGCCCTGGGGACCTCCATCAAGTGCTGTGGAATGGCTCCAGATGGCAGTGTGTTGCTTGCGCCAGGACTTTCAAGCACCCCTCCTGGCAGCAGCAATGCTTGTGGTCAATTAACTTCAAGTCTCCTTGCCCTGAAGGTCCGACAGGGACCTGGCAAGGCCCACGTCCTCCGTGTGACCCGCTCCCTCACGACAGGGATCGTGCTCGTCTTTTGCAAGAAGTGCAGAGCATACTGCTCGGGCACCCCAGACGCTTCTTGGAGCCCTGTGGCAAGGTTTTCAAGGCCCAGAAGAGGCTACTGGCATCGGGTAAGCTCCCGTGGCCAAAGGGTCACCGAATCTCACCTCCTTAGCCCCTCAAGACTGGGGCGGCGGAGTGGTGGTGGTGGTGGGGGTGCCACAACTGCCCCAGCTGATCCAAGTTTCCTCACCCTCTTCGTTTTTGATTGCTGGGGGCGCCAGAGCGGCGAAGAAAAAGAAGGAAGAGGAGGAGGAGGAGGAGGAGGAGGAGGAGGAGGAGGAGGAGGAGGAGGAGGAGGAGCGAGGAGGAGCGAGGAGGAGCGAGGAGGAGCGAGGAGGAGCGAGTAGCAATGAGAAGGAGCTATGAAGACGGAGGAGGAGACCGCGAGGAGCGATGAGGTGGGCGACATCGAGGATCGGACATGAGGACGAAAAAGGGGGAGCCCGACGAGGAGACGGAGGAGCAGGGGGAGGGAACAGCTTTTTGTTGTCATCGGAGCAGGAGTGGGTTGCAATGGAGTAGCAGGGAGAAGAGAAGGTGTGAGAAACGCAGGAAGGAGGAGGAGGAGGAGGAGGAGGAGGCGGAAGGAGTAGCACACGGGTATCGATTTGGAGAAGAAGGAACAGCAGCACAGCAGGAGAAGAATGAGAAGGGTAGTGGATCAGATGACGGAGGAGGAGGAGGAGGAGGAGGAGGAGGAGAACTACGAAAGCGATCGACGACCATCATGAGCGAAGGAGGAGGCGGGCGGGGCACAATGAGGGAGATCGAGGAGAAAATTACGATGAGAGGCGACGACGACGACGACGACGAACACGACGACGACAGAGAGAGAGAGAGAGAGTGCGCAACGATTCGGACCGGTGTCCGTCAGGGCGCTGGGCGTCTAGCGGTCCCACGCGCCCGGCGCTTGAGACTGGTGCGCAGCGAGGTGGAACGAGGGAGAGGAGAGATCTTCCGCGTGCGAGGAGGCGCACGGCAGTGTGGCAGGAGTTCTTTTTTGTTGGCGTTGTGCGTGTCGCCGCTCTTCGATCGGTTGTATTGGTGGCTGAAGGGCTCGTTGCATTGTCTGATGAGATCGGGTGAGCTCGTGATGCCCATCTTGCAGCATGGCGCAAGTGGTTTCGAAGGCGCAGAGACAATTGTCAACGGCGTCGGACGCACCCTGGATGCGTACGCCTGCATGGCACTGGTTTGCCCATTCGTTGTTTTCGAGGTCGTCCATGTCCTCGTCCCCACTGCCGGCTTACCTTCTAGGCCTCTCAGATGGGGTCGGAGTGGATGGGGTGGGTGGATCGCGCCGCGTCGCCGATGCATCGAGGATGCGGCTCGATGTGGAGCCCGATTTTCTCCACGCCGACGTCGCCGATGCATCGGCGATGACGACGATGCGTCGCCGATGCATCGGCGATGCGGCGATGCGGCGCAATCCTTCGACGCCACCTGCGCGGACCCCAGCTGAAAGGCCTCTGTACCCGGAACTGGTCCTGGAGGTCCCGCGGGGGCCTGGCCGGCGGGTGGGGGCCTCGGGCCCCGTGGCTCTGCCGCGGCCGAGGGAGGTCGAGCGCGGCCTGCCCCGGGGGCGGCGTGGGGTCCCAGGCCTGCCTGGCGAAGCTGGGCCAAGAGGGAGCCCGCGGCGCCTCGGAGCAGCGCGGGGAGGTGAGGCTTCTGGGCAGGCTCCTGCTCCTGATCTGCGGAGGAATGAGGAGTGGCGGTATCCAGGGCCACCAGGAGGGTGCGGCACGAGTCGCGCTTCGCGGTCTGGGCGATTTCAGAGCGAGGCGCGAGCCCCATGTCCTGCTCTGGGGGGGGGGGGGGGCGGCGCGAAAGCGCGGAGATAATCGCGCTTTGCGGAGAGCGAAGCGCGAAGCGCGAAGATAGTTGCCCTAGTGGTACTGGGGCACCTCTGCAACTATGCACTGGATGGGCCCGGGTTTCCCTAGATGGGCACCGCGGAGGTCTCCGTCGGTTGCCGGCTCCGGCTCCGTGGCTTCTTTGCTGCCGAGGCCGGCTCGAGGGAGGCTTCAGCATGCCAGCCCACTATGAGGCGCTTCCATCCATTCATCCATCCTAGAGTGCGGACGGTTTGGGCGAGGCGCTGCGGTGGCCATAGGGGGCGGTTGGTGGATGGTGTCCCGGGTCACGATCGTGGCGATCGCGGCCTTCACCCAGCAAGGCTCCAGGGGTGTGCCCGTCGCGGTCAGGCTCGTGCTGTTCGCGGTCAAGATGGTGTCCTTCGTTTGTGGTCGGACGCCAGCAAGGTTCCAGGGGGTGTTGCGCACCCCGCTACCCTGACCGTGGCGCTGGGTGGGTCGATAGTCCCCTGGCGTGGGCGAAGCGGCCAGAGTCGGGCTTGGCACATACTGCGTGGTAGGCTTCTGACGGTCAGTCGACCACCTTCTGGACTGTGAGCGCGCATGTATTGGTGGCACACTGGGGCTCGAGCCCCATAATGCGGCAGCGCTTGTTGGCCAGGCGGCCTCTGTGCCGCGGAGCTCGATGGCTACGGCCTTGGCGGCCGTACCTTCGAATAGAACGCGGGCTCTGACGCATCGGTCCCCTTTGAGGACGCCGCAGGCCCCATGGTTGGTGGAGACTATTGCGGCAGCTCCCATCGTGACCTCGATGTCCCACCAGATCATCACCCATGAGGTGGTTGCGGCGTTGGTGGGTTGGGAGGTTGGGAGGTGCCTGGGTGGCCGAGGTCGTAGGTGACCCCTCCCCTGCCAGAGACGGCGAGGACGTCGGCGACGTCGATCGGGCTGATCCCGAATGCCGCCGTGCGCATCCGCTTCCCTGCAGCTCAGCTGCGACGGCCGAGCTGGACGGGTTGCTCACGGGTCGCCGAGGTGACGAGGTGGTCTTGAAGGATGGCCTCGGGCGTGTCGAGAAGGGCTTCGTCCAGCGCTCCTTTGTGCCTTTGGCTCGACATGTGGCGCTTGCGGGCAGCCTGCTCAGGGGTGTCCTGGCGAAGCCCTTCCCCGCCCCGGGCCTCCGTGTGAGTGCCGTTGACAGGGGGGCAGCCCTGGAACACGTTCGTCGAGCAGCTCCTGCAGGCGTTCAGGGCGGCGGTGGCCTTCGTCTCGTGGATGACGGTGCGAGCCCAGGCGGTGTTGACAGGTGGGTCGAGCGTGACCTCCGCCGCGTTCGGACAGCACGCGACCTCGACCTCCGCGTGTCGATCGTGTCCACGTGCGCAGCGTGGGCCTTGGCGGCCGCAGCGCTGCGACGCAGTGCGGGAATGGCCATCTCGACCCCTTGGGAACTGACGGGAGGAGGAGGAGGAGGAGGAGGAGGAGGAGGAGGAGGAGGAGGAGGAGGAGGAGGCTGTGGCCACGAACCGCGAGAGGGCCAGCGGGTTGTCCTGCCGACGGAGTTGGGCGAGCGGGCGCCCTCCCTCCGCGTGGCCAAGGAGGGAGATGCTGCTGGTGAGCGCGCTGTCGCCGTGGGTGCCAGGGCGTGTTGGTTGAGCCACGACGGGTGCGGTCCAGCAGGCCGCGTCGAGGCTCATGAGTGGGGGTCGGACTCCCTTGCGTCGTCCGCGTGTCGTGGGCGACCCTTGGCGCGGTGGTGGGCCAGTGCCCAGCTGCTCGTGCGTTGGCCACGCTGAGACGCTGGGCGGCCAACCTCAGCCCAGTGGGCGGGATGCCGGTGCTTGCGGCAGATGCGGCCCCGCCTCCCCCGAGGGCGGCGGAGGCCACTCGACCGCAGGCGGGGGTGGCACGATCAGGCCCTGCAGCCTCGAGGGCCTCGACGCAGCCCGCCCGCCGCGCGAGGCTGGCAGCCTCGGCGGGGGCGCGTTTCCCTTGCGGGTGCGCGGGGCGCGGCGGCCTGCCATGGCGGGGTCGGGGCGGGGAGGGAGGAGAGCAGCCAGCTGTGAGCCTACCGGAGCAGCGTTGCGCTTCACAGAGCCAAGAGGCGGGGGCGTCATTGAGCCGAGGCAAGGAGAGAGAGGGAGAGAGAGAGAGAGAGAGCGAGCGAGAGCGGGGGAGAGAGATATAGAGAAAGAGAGAGAGAGAGAGAGCGAGCGAGGCCGGGGGAGAGGGAGAGGGAGAGGCGGCGAGGACGTGGCGACGATGAGAGACGACTGCGGCGATGAGGACGAGAGAATGCTACAGAGAGAGAGAGAGAAAGAAAGAAAGAAATAAAGAAAAAAAAGAGGGCGACGGCGACGGTGACGACGCCGACGACGACGACGCCGACGCCGACGGCCGAAAGAGCGAGCCAGCGACTCAGGAGCCGCAGCGGCGAAGGGCCGCGCGGGCCGCAGCGGTTGCAGTCGTTCTCGCCGCCGTCGCCCTCGCGGCGGCTGTGCCTGCGCTCGTGGGCGCGGGGTCCCCGTTCAGGCCGTCGCCGCCGTTGGTGCCACAGTCGTCGCCACGTCCATGTCGCCGCATCCCGGCCGCCGTCATTCGTACCGTCGTCGTCGGTCACGCCGTCTGCGTCGTCGCCGCCGCCGTGGTCGTCCATGCAGTTTGTCGTTCATGTAGCCCCGCGGGACTCCCGCGGCTTCCCCTCTGGAGAGAGGGCGCTGCTGCCCCCCAAAAGGGCCCTGAGAGGCCCTAGCGCACACCAACACCCCACTACCTGCTCGTCCTCATAATCCTTTTCCTCCTCCCCCATCTACACCACCTCCGCCTCGAAGACGTTCGGCATACTGCATTTCGTTTCCATGCTTATCAGTTGGTCCGCGAGAGGAGAGGCCCACCCCGTGCACTTCTCTTGCTCCGCATCGAACTCATGCCCCCCTCCCCGACGCGTCGGCCACCGCCATTGTCGCTGTCACCGTCATTCCATTCGGTGGCCCTGGCGAGGAGGTGGCGGCGGCAGTGGCAGTACCGAAACGCGCCCAGGCTGGTCTGGCTGATGCTCTGGGGGGGGGGGCTCTGCTCAGGGGAGGCTGAAGCACCGCTCAGCGATGTGACGTCAACCAAACATGCAGGGTAGCCCTGATCAAGTTTCACGGGGAGAGCCGCGCGCTCCTTGACCAGCAAGGGGCCTCCCAGATGGACAAACAGTTGCAGGACGTCGACAGCAAGGAGAACATGGGCATCCCCGAGACGCGCGGTTGGTTGGTGTACCACGTGATGTGGCAGGCCCACAGCAACAACCGCAAGATACCGTCCAAGCTGGGCCTCTGGGAGGAGAAGATCAGCAGTCTCTGCGCGGGTCGACCAGCAGCCCTGCCCCATCTGTCTGCAGAGCTGCAGTCGGGACGCTGAAGATGGAACCCTTTTTCGTTTGGGAGGGGCTCCGTACTCCTCTGTTGTTTTACAAGCTACCTTCGGTTTTCGATGGAACATCGAAGTTTCACTTATGGGAAAGGGGGGCCTCGTTCCGAATCTATCGTTCCTCAAGTCAACGCCCTAATTGTACACCTGCGATTGGCCCCCGCAGACGCCCGGTTGCTGCCACATGTCCTGCACGCAGTGCCTGGGGGCCACTGGGCCACGCTCAATGCACGGGAGAGGGACAGGCCGGCCGTCTGCCCGAGCTGCCACCGCCAGGGAGCTCTTGGGCTCCGTGAGCAGCTCTCTGCGGAGGTGGCGGCGGTCCGTGCGATCTCGCCCCAGTCCAGGGGGCGGTCTCTCGCAGGCCTAGAGGTTGACACCAACATCAGTATCGGCGGTGTGTCTCCACCGAGGGAGGAAGATCCCGATCTCGGCGACGGTGGTAATATTCTGGCTTCCAAGGTGGCCGACATATTGCCTCCAACACCGATGTCCAGGATCATCTTCCCCATGTGGAGGCAACCCCCTGTTGCGGTGTTGGTGCCCGTTTCTAGGCCTCCAAGTCTCCGCCGCCGCCCTGCGGCCAGTACACGGAGTCGGCTGCGCCTGCCTGCGACGTCACGGCCCATGGCCGTACGCCGCCCCCGCCCAGAGCCCTCACAAAGCTGAGTCTCTGATCTGCGAGCGCCTGCGCTGCAGCGGGGACGGGCGCTGGCTCTGGTTTGCGGCACCTCGGCTGCAGGGGGGACGAGCGTTGACTCGGGGGCGTCTGCGATTGAGGAGGTGGAGAGGGATGATATGGTGGGTCAGGAGGGACCGAAGCAGTCCGTCGGGATAGTTAAAAAGAATGCGTCTACCCACATTGGTGTTTCGTTCCTGCTGAGGGTGTCGGCTCGATATCCCTTGGCGCACGATCGTCGACTAGCTTGTAGACGGGTATCATTGCGGCCGTGCTGCGAGTTGTCCATAACATGATCTTCTGTTGTGTGGTCATAGCATCTCGCTGCAAATCACGCAGGCGTCTGAGGCTGACATTCGCAAAGGTTGCGCTGGTATTTTCAGCAGGTTTTCCCTCATAACTTCCCAGTCCTGCATTTACAGCATTCATGTAAGTACCCATCTGTTTTCAACGAAGTATCTGTAACGCATTGATCGTTTCCTTGCTGGCTGCGAAATCGCCCTATCCTCCGGCGTTGTAGGGCAGTCTCCTGCTGCGCGACCAGCTGGGGGGCTGAAACGAGCCGGCGCCAACAGAAAAACAAAAAAGAAACAACAACCAAAAACGTATCCGTATCCACGGCCTCGCGGGGGTCGGGCCCTCGGGCCGCGACCTTGTGGATGCGAGGCGCTTGTGTCGCGGATGCCCCGCGCGGGAGGTATCCGCGCGACCGCGTATCCGCGGGATCGCCCCAGAATCCAGACCGTGAGGGCGAGGATTCGCCGCTCGTGATCCGTAGCCACTGCGGCTCGAGCTGATGCTGGCGGCACCAGCGGGGCCGGCCGTGCTGGCGGCCGATGCCGGCCTTGCGCCCCGGCGCCCTGGCCGCGCCGCCCGCTGCTCCAGCATGGGCCCCGCTGCTGGCGGCGCCGCCGCGGGCCGCGCGCGCGATGCGGGCAGAGCGCGCGCCGCCGCTGGCGACGCTGTCGTGGGCGGGGCTGAACCTTCGGCGGGGCTCGAGAGACACACGTCGCGTGGTCGGCCAGGGAGCTCGGTGCGTAGACGCCCCCGCTGCCCAGCCGGTGGGACGCTGGAGCGCCCCTGCGCCGAGTTGCTTCGCCGAGCGCATGGGCGGAGGCGTTCGGCATAGAGGCGCTCCAGCGTCCCACAGGGCTGGGCAGCGGGGGCGTGCGTACCCCCGAGCTCCCGTGCACCTCGAGCCCCGCCCAGAACCTGGCGGGGGCCCCGCGCGCCGTTGCAGGGCGCAGGCTGGCGGCGCCCCGCGCGGCGCTCGCGGGCGCTCGGGGGCGCCGCCGGCCCGTGCGGCGGCTGCTGGCGGCGGCCGCCGCCGCCAGAGAGGCTGGCGCTCCGAGCGCGCGGCCGCCGGAGCTGTGCGGCGGCGTTCCGCCGCTCTGGGAGGACGTGGCGCAGTCGCCGTATAACCGGGCCGTGTGGGAGGAGGACGGGGTCGTGCTGGGCCAGGGCGCGTTCGGGGTGGTCGCGCGCGGTATGAACAAGGACACCGGCGAGCTCGTGGCCATCAAGCGCATCGCGCCCACGCACGAGCTCGCCATCCGCACCGCCAGGAATGAGATCGACGCTGCTAACGCGCTGGGCGTCCACCCCAACGTGGTGCAGCTGAAGGCGTACTTCATGGAGGAGCCTGTCACCGATAGCAAGGGCGTCCATCGTGACATGGTCTTGATGTACAGGTTGGCCCTCGGTGGCGACCTGCAGCAGTGGGTGTTGGCTCAGCACGGCAACTCCTTTTCGGCAGTTGACTTCGCGAGGCCAAAGCTGACAGACGAATCGCTGCGCCTCATGTTGCAACTGATAGCTGGGCTGGAGCACTGTCACAGCAAGGGCGTCCAGCACCGCGATCTCAAGCCTGCCAATATCCTGCTGAGCGCTGGTGGCACTGCCCTCATCGGCGATTTTGGCATCGCCCTCGTGAACCGCAGCTCTGGCCGTGAGCAGGGGCAGTCCGCGCTGGGCGACTTCTACTTCATGGACGTGGGCTCGCTGGTGGTGAAGCAGCTGCCGTACACGCTCGAGGACGACATCTACTCGCTGGGGGAGGTATTCGTCCGTTGGAGCCGGCTGGGGGCCTGAGGTGGGGCATGGGCATGGCCCCAGCCGTGAAAGCGTGGGGGAGGCACCACCGTGCACAGATTCCGTTCCCTGCCCCCCTCTGGGCCGCCCCCTCCACATGGGCATCGAGTGCCGAACTGGCCCCCCTCTTCCCATCCGACTGGTGATGCTGCCGCCCGGCCAGGGCAGGCCCCCCAGCCGCCTCCAACCCGTGCGCATCCTCTATGGGAACTACGCGACGGGCTCGGAGCTCAACTATTGGAGAGGCCTGACGGCCGGTGCCGCCGACCCTGATCGAAAGGGCTAGGAGCGGGGGGAGGAAGCGGAGGAGGAGGAGGAGGAGGGGGAGGAGGAGGAGGAGGAGCAGGAGCAGGAGCAGGAGGAGGAGGGGGAGCAGGAGCAGGAGGAGGGGGAGGAGAAGCAGGAGGAGGAGGAGGAAGAGGAGGAGGAGGAGGAGGAGGAAGAGGAGGAGAAGCCCCTCACACACGCCGACAGGGTCGGCGGATTTCATCAAGTCGCAGACGGAGGCCGGCGGCGAGCCCCCCCCGGCAGTCACGCAGATCTTGGCCACCATGCTCCGGCCGCGGGAGACGCGCGCGTCGCTGGCGGAGGTGCGCGGCAGGCTCGCCAAGCTGGCCTTCATGCCGCTCACCTCGGAGCCCCGGCCCAGCTCGAAGAGGAAACAACGGCATGAGCATAATCAGAGCCCCGAATCATCAGGGGTAACTCGGGCGTCCAGAGCCCCACATCATCAGGGGAAACTCGGGTCAGGGCTAACTCGGGTTCCTTTTTCGGGAATCCAAACCCGAGTTACCCATTACCCGAGTTACCCCGGATAACTCGGGCGCCCAACATAAGATGTCGGGGCTCCGCGCAGATGTTTTGGATCGGCGCTGGGCCCCCCTGGCGGCGCCTCTGGCGCCGCCCCTGCCGCGCTCCGCGCGCACCAGCGCCGATCCAAGAACTCCGCGCGGGTCTCCGAGAGTGTGCGTTCATGGCGTTTTTTGCCCTTCTGCTATCTTGACAGCTGCCTTCCTTGGTGTTGGCGCCGTGGCCACCGCGGCCCTCTTCGCGGAGAAGACGCGCAGGGACAGCCTCAGGAGGGCCTCCTCGGTCTTCTCCTCCCGGTCGAGGCTCCGGGCCGAGTTCCGGGTGGGGCGCGCACAGGCGACGCGAGTGTTCATGGAGGACTACTATTGCCATTGCCGCGTGCCGTTCTCCACGTCGCCCGACGCGCGGTCCTGGCGCCTGCTCGGCGTCTTCGACGGGCACGGCGGCACGGACTGCGCGCGCTTCGCGGCGCGGTTCCTCCCCCACGAGGTGCGGAGGATGTTCCGGCAGGCCGAGGAGCAGGAGTGGGCGAAGGAGCGCGGGCCCGGGCAGGCGCCGAGCGCCGAGACGCTCCGCGTCGCCGCCCGGGCGCTGCGCATGGCGCTGGAGAGCCTGAACAACCTCTTCGTGGAGCACGTCAAGAAGCACCGGAGCAAGGTCGGGGGCGGAAGTGAGGGGGGTGATGACTAGGGGAGGTGGATGTCATGGCGGGGGCCATGATGTTTCTCAGATTTCATGGCGCCTCTTCTTGTTTCATTTCGTACCTGGCCCCCCGCTGGGCCGCGCACATGCCGCCGGTCATGATCAGCACCCCCCCCCTCTTTGACGCCCCCCTCTTTGCCGCTCCCGACAAGGACGCCTTCGGGTACGCGGGCACCACCGCCGTGACGGCGCTGCTCTCGCCCGAGGGGCGCCACGCGGTGATCTGCAACATCGGCGACTCCAGGGCCGCCCTGGCCGGAGGCTGGCGGGTGACCGAGCTCGAAGCGGAAACAGCTGCAGAAGCACAAGCCTTCGGAGCTCCGCGCGGATGCCCTGGATGGGCGCTAGAACCCCCTCCGCGGCGCGCGGAGCGCGCCAGGGATGGCCGCCAGGGGGGCACCGCGACCATGTCCAAGAAGGCCGCGCGGAGCCGCGAAAGGTTGTGCCTACGCTGTTTTTTCTCCTTCTGCGAGCACTCCGGGAACGCCCCCACGGTGTTCGAGGACGGCGTGGTCCTGTCGCACCCGCACAACCCGGGCGACCCGTCCGAGATGGAACGGATCGAGGCGGCGGGCGGGTTCGTGGAGCTCGGCAGGAGCGGCTACCGCGTCAACGGCGCGCTGTCGGTCTCCCGCGCCCTCGGCTACGCCGGGGTCAGGGAGTTTGCGGAGACCGTGACGTCCTCGGCCGACTACATCCTGAAGAAGGCGAAGCTGTGTGAGCATAAACTTTCGGAGTTCTGCGCGGAGTTCTTGGATCACCGCCGGACCCCCTGGCGGCGCCTCCGGCGCCGCCCCTCCTGGGGGGGGGCGCTCCGCGCGCCAGGGGCAGGGGGGGCCCAGCGACGATCCGAGAAATCTGCGCGGAGCTCCGAGGTTTTATGTTTATGACGTTTGTCCTTCTCCAAGAATCATCGCCGAGCGCGCCGACGTGGACCACGCCGACGACGCGTCGGGCGCCAGCTACCCGGCCCTCGTTGCGCTCGCGAGCGACGGCGCCTTCGAGGGGCTGCCGCAGGTGGACGGGAAGCCCCTGCCGCACGAGGTGGCCCGCGTGATCCGTCGGCTCGCTGCCGCCCAGGATGGCGCCGACCTGGAGGTGAGGATCCAGGCCGAGCTGGACGCCGCTGGGGGTGGGCCCGGGATGGCGGACCAGAACAAGGACAATGCAACCATTCGGAGAAGGGACACTCGTTCTGGACGTACACTCTCGGAGCTCCGCGCGGAGTTCTCGCATCGGTGCTGGAAGCCCCTGGCGGCGCCTCTGGCGCCAGGCAGGGGGCCCAGCGCCGATCCAAGAAATCAGCGCGGCGTTCCGAAAGCTCATGTTTGAACAGTTCTTCCTTGGTCCAACACTCCTGGCGTGCTTGCTGCCGGCGGCGGTCTGAGATCCCACGTTGCGGCTGCCCGGCCAGCACGCACGCTGCAGATCCTCTTCTCTCCCTCTCCTCTCAGAGGAGGAGAAGGTACCGACACGGGCCCCCTCCCCTCGCTCTCGCCATGCTGTGCCTTCTGGGAGGCCCTCGTCGCCACGGCCGGATTCGCCTCGAAGTTCCTTCTCGTCCTTCCCCGCCTCCCCAGACATCCTCCGACACGTGTTGCTTCGATCCGCGGCCCCCGAGCCCCGGACCCCTTTACCGGGAGCAGCTCTGCAGCCCACGCGGACCCCTTTCTGATGCCTTGGGGAACGGATCCCCCCAGAGGCCCAAGCCGATTCAGATCGCCGGGACTGGAACAAATTAATTATCCTCGGAGATTGGGGTCCCCTCCCCCCTGCAATGGCGCGACACATTTTCGGGAACATGCATTTGCCGCTGTGCCGCGCGTGAGCACTCGTTTGCAGCGCGTGCCATCCTGGATGTCTGGGCGCTCGTGGCTGCAGGCCTCGCGCTGCCCCAGAAGATGCTGCTCAGCTGCGTGCCTCTTCCGCTGACAGGCTGCATGGCTCGGCCTCGCAAGCCCAGAAAATCGATGTCGCGCTGGATGTTTGGGCACGCTCCGTGGGATGCAGCTCCTGTGGCGTCAAATTTAGCATCGGCGCTGGTATATCCGTGGTCGCGGCCTCATCCAGCACAGTCCTGCTGAATTCCGCCTGATCCCCCCGAGACCGGCCGAATCCGACTTGTTCTTGGATTCAATGCGGCTGAATGGCCCGTCAATCTTGGTCAGTAGCCTTTCAGCGTTCTTGCAGAGACCTCCCAGAGAGGGTTGCCCCCCGAACATGTCACGTTGGATGTTTGGGATCGCTGCTCAGGCCAACGGTGGGCTCCAAGGGAGTTTCCTGAGCGCTACCATAGCCACCCGATCATTACATGACCAACTCAGCCCTGGAAGTGCTGCCTCATCTTCGCAATGAATAAGGTCGCTATTCGGGCCTCCTGGGCACCTCCTGAAGGGGTTCGAAGGACCCGAACGCTGACCAGGTTTTCGGGTCATAGCTCGGCTCTCCAGCGACCGTTTGGGACGAGCCGGGCACCCCCGAGACGCTCTCGGCGAGGCGCAGCTGCTGGAATGCACATCGAGGCCGAAAGATCGCCGAGACCGCCTAAAACACGGGAAAATCTTGGACCTCGAACCCCCTGGGCCAGGTCACGGCGCCAGAGGTTCCGACCCACTCCCGGGGGCACGCCTTTCGCCCCAGATGACCTGCTGGTGGCCCCTGGGCCCCGGAGGCCCACATCGGGAGAAACCGCCGGTGGAGAAAAGAAGAGATCGTCGGAGATCTGGGCTTCGGCCCGCGTCACAGCGCTCGCCCCCTCCTCCTCCTCCCTCCTCCTCCTCGACGTCGTCCCACTCCTCCTCCTCCACTCCTCCTCCTCCTCCTCCTCCTCCTCCTCCTCCTCCTCCTCCTCCTCCCTCCTCCCTCCTCCCTCCTCCCTCCTCCCTCCTCCCTCCTCCCTGCCCTCCTCCCTCCTCCCCTCCCTCCTCCCTCCTCCTCCCCCTCCTGCCCCTCCTCCCTCCTCCCTCTCCCTCCTCCTCCTCCTTCCCTCCTCTCTCCCTCCTCCTCCTCCTCCTCCTCCCTCCCTCCTCCCTCCTCCTCCTGCCCTAGTGAGAAGGCAGGGCTGTTGCACAACCAATCGCAGGGGAGTTTGGCAGAAGCGCGCACCAGCGTATGTGTTTTGACGTTGAACCCCCTTATTCGGATGTCCTTGTCCTTGTCCTCTCCCCTCCTCCTCCTCTCCTCCTCCCTCTCCTCCTTCTCCTCCCCCTCCTCCTTCCTCCTCCTCCTCCTCCTCCTCCTCCTCCTCCTCCTCCTCCGCCCTCCTCCTCCCCCTCCTCCTCCTCCTCCTCCTCCTCCTCCTCCTCCTCCTCCTCCTCCTCTCCTCCTCCCTCCTCCTCCTCCTCCTCCTCCTCCTCCTCCTCCGCCTCTCCTCCTCCTCCTCCTCCTCCTCCTCCTCCTCGCTCTCCTCGTCCTCCTCTCCTCCTTCCTCCTCCTTCCTCCTCCTCCCCTGCAGGCCGCAGCGCCCGCCCCCCGGCCGCGCGGCGGGCGCCCGCCGGCCGACGACGGCGAGGAGGCAGCAGGCGGAGCGCGGGGGCTGCCCCGTGGAGCCGCCAGCCTCGGGCGCCGCGGCCTGGCGCGCGGAGCCCGGCCGCGTCGCGAGGGGCGTTCGAAGCCTTGCGAAGAATCGGCTTCTTCGAGAGCGCGAGAGGGAGGAGGAGGGGGAGGAGGAGGAGGAGGAGGAGGAGGAGGAGGAGGAGGAGGAGGAGGAGGAGGAGGAGCAGGAGGAGCAGGAGGAGGAGGACGAGGAGGAGGAGGAGGAGGAGGAGGAGAAGGAGGAGGAGGAGAGAGGAGGAGGAGGAACATGGACAGGAACTGGAACAGGAGGAGGAGCGAGGAGGGAGGAGGAGGAGGAGGAGGAGGAGGAGGAATAATAATAATAATAATAATAATAATAGTAATAATCATCATCATAATAATAATAATAATAAGAAGAAGAAGAAGAAGAAGAGGAGGATCAGGAGGAGGAGGAGGAAGAGGAGGAGGAGGAGGAGGAGGGAGGAGGAGGGAGGAGGTGGAGGAGACCTCCCACACCCCATCGAGTCACGAACAAAAGAATGCGACCAAGGTTCTCCGGTATTTTCAGCCTCTGGGGGCCACTGGGGGCCCTCCTCGGGGCCGTCCTGAGACGCTTCAGGATGAGCACCCAGTCCCGGGGAATGGGAGGCTTTCAATCAGGAGCGAAGGAAGACGTAATTTCACGTGCATGAGCCCACGTTGATTTCGAGAGTGCGCATTGCAGGAATCTTCGTATCACGCGGCCGGTCTCGCGGATCAAGGGGCCGTGCTCATGTACATGGTTGAGCGCGTACGTCCTTTGTGCTCCGCAGTCGAACCCAGAGATCCGATGCTTCGAGAACATGGAAACGACACTTGTTATTTGTGTTCTTTTTGCTGTGCTTCTTGTTTGTATCGGTGATGCAGTGGTTTGTGGTTGTTGTTGTTGGTGCTGGTGGTGGTGGTGTTATTATTGTTTTTGTTGTTATTGTTGTTATTGTTGTTCTTGAACTCTCATTTCTATGTAATAATTGTTGTTGGTCCTCCCTGCCCGGTAAACATTCTTCATTTTTTCATAAATCACAGTGCTTCACCCGGGTCTCGCACCTTGTTTTATACAAGGGGAAGTGAGGTGCCACCAAATTGCGCCCCTGGCCCCACTTTTTGCAACAAGAACGACTGACTGCCGCCTGAGACTTCGTCACAATGTATTCCCAAATCGCGCTCTCGCGCAGGACTTCCCAACAATTTAGACAGGAATCGCGCTCTCACGTGGGACTGCCTCTCAATGTATTCAGACGCCGCGCCCTCGACACTCAGGAATCACGCTCTCGCCTTACGATTTATTCGGAAGTCGCGCTATCGCTGGAGACTTCATAGCGATTCATGCAGGACGCACGCTTCAGCAACCCGCCTGCTCGACCTGACCGCCTGGGCTCGCCTTCCCGACCCGCCCGTTAGGGTCTACCCGCCCGATTTGCCCGTCCTTTTCTGCCACGTGTTTTCTGTTCCTAGCTCCCCTCCCGCTACTCCCTTTCGTGCTCCATCCTCATTTCTCCCCCTTGTCCATTTCTTGCATCCGTCCTCTCTTCTAGTGGCTGCACGTAATACACCTTGACGGTCAGAAAAGATGCTCCAAAGACAAAGAGGGCTGGCATCGAGGGTTTGGGATATACGCATTGAGCGGCACGCGAGCAGATACGATCTAACAGTCTTGAAATGATTGTTGTAGTTGCTGGTGTTGTTGTTGTTGTTGTTGTTGTTGTTGTTGTTGCTGTCGTTGGTGTTGATGTTGTGTTCGTTGTTGTTGCTGATGAGTTCTAAGTTTAAAGAATAATTGTTGACCCCCCTCCCCGGTAACCGATTTATTTGTTCACCTACAGTGCTTCTTCCAGGGCACGCACCCAGCTTTTAACAAGGGAAAGCGAGGTGTCACCAAACTGTGCCCCTGGCCCCGGCTCCCGCCTGATACTTCTTTACAATGCATTCCCAAGTCGCGCTCTTTCGTGGGAATTCCTCACGATGAATGCTGGAATCGCGCTCTCGCGTGGGACTTCCTCGCCATCTATTCAGACGCCGCGCCCTCGACACACAGGAATCACGCTCTCGCTGCGGATTGCCTTACGATTTATTTGGGAATCGCGTTGTCGCTCGAGAATTCTTCGCGATTCATGTTGCACGCACGCTTCAGCAACCCGCCTGCTCGACCTGGCCGCCCTGGCCCGCCTTCCCCACCCGCCCGTTAGGGTCTACCCGCCCGATCTGCCCGTCTGGTTCTGCCACGTGTTTCCTGCTCCTCGCCCCCCTCCTGCTGCTCTCTCTCGTGCTCCATCCTCCTCCCTCCCCCCTGTCCCTTCCTTCCATCCGTCCTCTCTTTCCTTGGTTTAGGGGCTACACGACATGCACTTTGCAGGTAAGAAAGCTCTATACCCATTCAGGGGGTACGATCGAAGACGAAGAGGGCGGGTATCGAGGGTTCGGGATATATGTGTTGAACGGCCCGTTAGCAGATAAGAGCGAACAGTCTTAATATCTTTGTTGTTGGCGTTGCGGCTGTTGTTAATGGTATTGTTGTTGTTGTAGTTGTTGTTGGTGCTGCTGCTGTTGTTGTTCGTGTTGTTGTTGCTGTTGTTGGTGGTGGTGTTTGTGTTGTTGTTGTTGCTGGTGGTGGTGTTGTTATTGTTGGTGGTGGTATTGGTGGTGCTGTTGTTGTGTAGGGCCGTCAAACAAACTGGATGAAATGCCCGTCGTGGGGAAATTGTCTAGACCTCCTGGGGCCCACGCATCGAAAACATTGGAGCGCCGGATGTTTGGCAAGGCGCCGTTAATCATGGAGGATCGGCCCTCGAGATTCGAGGTTGGAGGTTTTCGGGCGTGTTCGTCTGCCCTCGGCGGCTCTGCAGCCTCGGAAGTGCCCCCTAGCGGCTGCGCCTCGCCGAGGGCGCTCGGGTCTGCCCAGCTCGTCCCGAATGGCCGCCGGAGAGCCGAGCGATGACCCGAAAGCTAAGGGGGCAAGGTCGGAGGGTGATGGGCTCAGGGGGGGGGGGGGGGACGCATCGACCCCCAGAGTCGCCTCTTGGCGATCGCCGATTGGGGCCCGATAGCCAACCTCGCCCAGGACCTTGCAGGTCCGTTCTCGGGGGCATATTTCCGATCTGTCGGCGGCGTATCGCCGATTCCAGGTCGACGTCTCCCTCCTGAGCCGGTCCAAAGGATGCTTGCTTGCTTGCTTGCTTGGATGCGTCTGGGAGTGCTGCGCGGGAGTGGCCCAGAGAGCGGGCGCACCGCGCGGTCTCGGCCGCCCCTGCGAGCTGCTGCACGGAAGCACTTGCGAGGCCGAGGCGCACTCGTGGGCGAAAAGCCTTTCCGTGTCCGCGGCCTCGCGGGCCGGGCCCTTGTGCCGAGACCCCACAAAGGAGGAGGAGGAGGAGGAGGAGGAGGAGGAGGAGGATGTGTCGTCGATGTATCGCCGTGGAGCCGCCAGCCTCGGGCGCCGCGGCCTGGCGTGCAGAGCCTGGCGGCGGCACCTCGGGCAGACATGCTGCCCTCGGGCGCTTCTCGCAGTGCGGGGGGGCCCCACTGCGAGGAGCGCCGGAGGGCAACTTATCTGCTCCGGCATTAGCGCCCGAGCGCCCGAACGCCCAGGGGAAACAATCACGCCGTCCTCTGGCATGTGTCGCCCCCAGGGTGACAAATGCCGGAAGACGGCGTGATTTGTTCCACCCCGTCGGTTGTTCCTTGATGTTGGCCTCCTGGGCCCGTTGTCGGGCTCTGGGGCTACCTGAAGTGCACCAGGGTCTGAAAGCGCTCGGGACCTTTTGGGGCCGCGCCGCGAGAGGTATTTCCCAACCATCCTGTGGTGTTGGGTCCTCTTTTAAAAGAGACACGGCCCCGCGTCCACTCCTTCCTTCCTCCTCCACCTCCTCCCTCCTCCCATATCTGCCTCTGCTCTCCGCGTGCCCACAATTTCGGCACATCCCTCACAATTTGCGTGGCCTCATAGAGAGCTCCACCAAAGGCCCCAGCGGCAGGGTCTGCATGAGTCCCACCGACAATTTCGGCATACCCTTCACGAGTATCGTGGCCCCATAGGGAGCTCCATCGAAGGGCGACAGGGTCCGCATGCGTCCCCCCGCCTATTCTGGCACACCTCTCACGAGGATCGTGGCCCCATAGGAAACTCCACCGAAGGCCTCGGCGGCAGGGTCCGAATGTGTCCCTCCTCCCATTTCGGCATTCTCCTCACGAGGGTCTTCGCCCCATAGGAAGCTCCACCGAAGGCCCCAGTGGCAGGGTCCGTATGCGTCCCCCCGCATTTGCACACCCCTCATGAGGATCTTCACCCCATAGGAAGCTCCGCCGAAGGCCTCAGCAGCAGTGTCCGCATGCGTCCCCCGCTCATTTCGACATTCTCCTCACGAGGATCGTTGCCCCATAGTGAGCTCCACCGAAAGCCCCAGCCGCAGGGTCCGCATGCGTCCCCCCGCCTATTCTGGCACACCTCTCACGAGGATCCTGGCCCCACAGGGAGCGGTATTCACAGTTGCAGATAGTTGGGCCCTTCGCCAGGATCATTTCCCCTCGGGTGGGGGGAGGGGGAGGGGGAGGAGGAGGAGGAGGAGGAGGAGGAGGAGGAGGAGGAGGAGGAGGAGGAGGAGGAGGAGGAGGCGAAGGAGGAGTAACAGGATGAGGTTAGAACCCCAACATGCTGGCGTTGTGGAAGGCACGACGGGACGTCTTGGCCCGCGTTCGGCCTCCAGGGGCCCCCGCTGGGCACCGGGGCCAGAGAACGCTAGCGGGATGGAAAACCAGCATGGGTTCGGATGCAACTCCTGGGAGGTCAAATTCTGATTTTGCCTTTGTCCGAAATCCGGCTTAATCCTGCTTAATACCGCTTAATCCGGCTTAATTCCGCTAAATCCAGTTTAATTTGGCTTAATCCAAGGCCCACTCCGGCATAATAGCCCCCCAATGGGGCTTAATCCTCCTTAACCTTTCCGACGAAAACCTCCCAGTAGTTGCCTCCTAACATGGGCAAAGGGTCGGGACTTCCAGTGACCGCGCATTGAGAAGAACAAGACGTCGCATGTCTGGGTACACACCGACGACACAGATACCGTTCCATCTTTCTCGCCTTCCTGGGCCCTCCTGGGAGGCCCTCTTCGCCACGGCTGGATTCGCTTCGAAACTCTGGTCAGCACGCACCCCGGGAGAGGCCCGGGGAGTAGCGGTATGGGTATCTCGTGGTTTCCCCGACGTGTGGAAGGTGCACCCTGGGGCCCCGAAGATGCACCTTCCGCCCCCCTTCCCCCCCCCCTCCCCCTTTTGCCTGCCCCCCCGCGCCATTAAGCAACGCCCGATGCCCTTCGCCTGGAGGGGCCTCTGGGTGCGCGGCTTTCGCGGGGCGGCGCGGGGAGGCCAAGCCCCGCGGAGCGCTTTCGGACGCTCTCGTCGGTTCCCAGAGGTCCCCCTACAGTCGAGCGTTTGGATAAGAAACCCTCTCTCGAAAAGCTGGGCCAGCGTTTCCTAGCCAACTTGCCGGAAAGCTGGCTCAGTTTCTTGAGCGCGTTCGCCCCTCCAGCGTCGACACAATAACTTGGCCAGGCTTGTCTTCAGAAATTTCCGGAAAGCTGGCCCGGGTTTCTACAGTGATGAGTTTCTTGATCACAGTTTCGGCTGCACCGTCGGAGAACCTCGGGGAACCGACGAGGGCGTCCGAAAGCGCGCCGGGCAGCACCCGTCGGAACGCAGCTGCGCCTCGCCGGGAGCGCCCCGGGGGTGCCCTATAGGAGGCCCCGAGCGGCCTCGGGAGCCGGAGATCCGAGCCGTGGCCCAGAAGGCCGAGCGAGCGTCCGCCAAAGGGGCCTCTGGCGCACGGCGCTCGGGGGGTGCGGGGGCGGGCACGCCGAAGCACCCAGAGATACAGCGTGCTTCAAGGATCAAGGCAGAGGTTCTGTATGCGCTTCCTCGGGGAGGAGGCGAGTCTGCACACAAGAATGTGGGATGTTCGTAGATCTGTAGAACCTCCACGTATTTTTGCAAATTCGTCAAGAACAACAATATTGCAGGGTAAATCAATTATGCAGTCGATCTCCTACTCGAATTTTCGGCCTCTTCAGGCCCCAGGACCGTCAAAAACGAGTCAGGATGAAAATTTTGTTCTCGGAATTGGGTCGAGACTTCCCGGGACCTCGTAGGTCGCACGATGGTTGCATCCTCATCCCTACTTGGAAAGCTTTAGCCCCGCTGGCCGACCTATAAGTATATCCCCCCCAGTCGGGGATGTATGCTGTCTCCTTCCGGGGCTTCGTGGCACTTGTCCCCACCTAATTATGGGCAGGCGGGTAGCGCAGAGAAGGTGCCCTGGCCCGGCGGGGACGCGGACAGAGACGTTCTCCGGGGCCGGGTTCTCATCCCGAGCTGCCTGTCGACGGGCCCGGGGCCTGGCGGGAGGCCCCGGAGGCCGCAAACGGTGAAGAATCCTGCGCCAAGGTCTTTTTCCACGGCGCGAGGCTGACGAACGAGCAACACACACCCATACCCATAATCAGGGGGGTCGTTGGGAGAAAAACTGGCTATGGGTATGGATGCGGGTTGTCGGACCCTGGGGAACGCTCCCGTTCGAGCGGGGACCCCCATCCGACAACACGCACCCATATGGCCCTCTCCGACCCCTCTCTGGGTATGGGTCTGTGCTGTTGGTTCGTCAGAGGCCGAGGGGTCGTTCCTTCTGCAGCGCTCCTGCTGCTGCGCACGGCACGATGGCCCGCGCCTCCCAACCCCGTCCTCCCAACCCCGTCCTCCCAACCGCGGAGGAGGAGGAGGAGGAGGAGGAGGAGGAGGAGGAGGAGGAGGAGGAGGAGGAGGAGGAGGAGGAGGAGGAGCAGGAGGGAGGAGGGAGGAGGAGGAGGAGGAGGAGGAGGGAGGAGGAGGAGGAGGAGGAGGAGAGGAGGAGGAGGAGGAAGGGGCCGCTCCCCCCGCGGCGTGCTTCCCCCGAGGAGCTGGCGGCCGAGGAGGCCGGCGGCGCGCGGGCGCCGGCCGCTGGCACCGTGCTCCCGGGCGCCAGCATCGACGTCGTGCAGGCGCCGGTCCAGCAGTGGCGAAGCGTCCTCCTCCTCCTCCTCCTCCTCCTCCTCCTCCTCTCCTCCTCCTCCTCCTCCCCCTCCTCCTCCCCCTCCTCCTCCTCCTCCTCCTCCTCCCCCTCCTCCTCCCCCTCCTCCTCCTCCCCCGGCGCTTAGTGGGCCCTGGAAACGACAGGGCGTGCCTATACAGTCGGGGCGCTGAAGAAGGAACCCTTCTCGTTGGGGAGGGGCTCGGTGTTCCTCGATCTTTTTACAGTTTCCACCGGGTTTCCTGAGGTTTTCCATGGGCAATAGAAGTGGAACTGATGGAAAAAGGGGGCCTCGTTCCTTATTTAGGGTTCCTTAGGTCAACGCCCCGACTGTAGGCCTGCCGAACCATGTTCCAAGGACCTTTTGTGGTCTGCACGAGATGTTCTTCGAGCATGTCTGGCCGCGGCCGTCTCGTTTTCGCACATCGGGTTGGTGTTCTCAGAGCAGTGTTTTTGTTCTGAGAACATTTCTGGGTCCTAAGGACACGTCGTGGTAGGCCTATAGGAATGCTGGGACGGTCGGTCCCTGCTCAAGTCGGTGGTCGACGCTCCAGGGATCATTTTCGATTCGATGGATCCGATTCGATTCGAAGAAGGAAAGTCGCCATAAACACAACTCTTGGCGCTCCGCGCGGATTTATCGGATCCGCGCTGGTCTCCTCCTCCCGGCGGCGCCTCTGGCGCCGCCCGATGTGTTTTCTTCTTCTGTCGATATCGTTTTCGATCGCGCGAGCCGCTTCGATTCCGATGCTCCGACGATGCGATGCGGCCCGATGCCTGCATGGCGTTGTTGCGCATCCTGGAGCTGCCCATCCAATTCGATTCCGGTTCCTCGCCCACGCGTCCCGCTTCGGTGCAGGAGCCGATGCGACCCGGTTTCCCGATTCCCAGATCATGGGATACTGATTTTTTTCGGTCGCGATCGGTAGCGACCGATCGGCACTCCAAATCGGTCGCGGCCGATCGCGGATCGGTCGTGTCCGGTGGCCACCGATCGGTCGCGACCGATCGTCGCGACCGATTTTGAAGCAAATCGGCCGCGACCGCTACCGAAATTTGAAGCAGAATCGGTAGCGACCGTTCTCGTCGGTCGCGACTGGAAAATTCCAGTATCCAATGATCAGGGTTCGGGGCTGACTGCCCCTCTGCGCAGTGCCCACACTCCCATGAGCCCCAGCGCACGGAGAACACACGGTTTTGCATCGTGGAGCCCCATGGCCGGGCCCAGGGAGCGTTCACCAAGCGGTTCTCGGGATGTCGAACATCGGCAACACCCCAACATACTCATGCTATATGTGCGTCGCCCCCCCAGGGGCGACGCGCGCACCGAGAAATCTTATAGTATATGCGTCGTGGCGGGCGCTTTCTGGCCACACCGCTCGGGAAACGATATACTACAAGATGGGTATACTATATGTTCGGGTCGGACGCGCGCCTCCAAGGAGGATATATAGTATTAGTATGTCCATGTGCGTCCCAGAACAGGTCCTGAGGAAAGGGTCGGGATTTCAGGGGACCCTGCACGGTAAAACCACGACGGGAGGTTATTGGTTGCAGTTTTGGGCCTTTGGGAGCTGTCCCCAGGCCCTGGGACCGTAAGAGAGCCTCCACGGTGAGAAACCGGGCCCAGGGAAGGGTATCCAAGCCTCTGGGGGTCGACGTTGTGAACAACAACAGCATTATGTATTTGCGAGGTGTGGGCTCTGCTACACTGTTAATGTTGGCGGGCACAGAACGGGATAAAATGATTGTTGTCCGCCATCGGGACGCCTGTTCCGGGGCGACTTGGGAGTTTGCGCCCCTGCTGTGGCGCCCCAGGGGTTTAATTGTTGCAGCCGCCTTAGGACAGGCGCCCGCGGTGGCGGACACGTCGATGCCATACCGTTCCTCGTTCCTCGTCCGCTCGTATGATATTTGTCCAGAGGTGAAGTGTTCCTCGCCCGATGCGCGCCAAATTCGGAGAATAATTATGGCCCAACAAACATAACCTGCCGACGGCCCGCGCGGATTTGTTTTGATCGGGGCCGGGGTCCCCTGGCGCCCTGGCGGCGCCTCTGGCGCCACCCCTGGCGCGCAGAAAGAAATCCGCGCGAACTTCCGAGAGTTCATGCGTATGTTTATGAAGCGGTTTCTCTTTTTCCCGACACTCCTGCGTTGAGTTCTCGTTTTGGATCGAGTTTTGCGGTCGCATCTTTTCTTCTTTCCTTCCCGCATCCTGCCTCTCCTCCCTCTCCCTCCTCTCTCCTGAACTCTGGTACATGCCTGCCAGTTCGCCTCTTGCCTCGCCGTCCTATGTTTACCTCGCCATCCCTGGGGAGCTGCGAACTGCGCAACTGTCGCCACCTTCGAGGGCTGCAAAGTGTCGCCACTTTGGAGGGCTGCTGGAGGGTCCAGCGGAGTATCGCCACGCCGCGAATCAGAGTAGACCTCGCCATCCCTGGGGGGCTGCGAACTGCGCCACCGTCGCCACTTTGGAGGGATGCCGGGGGGTCCAGCGGAGTGACTCCCCGCCGCAGATCAGAGTAGACCTCGCCATCCCTGGGGGGCTGCGTACTGCGGAACTGTCGCCACTTTGGAGGGCTGCCCGGGGGGTCCAGCGGAGTGACGCCCCGCCGCAGATAAGACCTCGCCATCCCTGGGGGGGGGGTATTGCGAAAGTGTCGCCACTTTCGAGGGCTGTTGGGGAGTCCAGCGGAGTGACGCCCCGCCGCAGATCAGAGCAGTCCTCGCCACCCCTGGGGGGCTGCGAACCGCGAAAGCGTCGCCACTTTCGAGGGCTGCTGGGTGGCCAGCGGAGTGACGTCATACGCAGATTCAGATTCGACCTCGCCATCCCTTTGGGTGGTCCTGCGATCTGCAGAACGGTCGCCCCTCTCGAGGGCTGCGGGGGGTGCTTCGGGGGCCCAGCAGAGTGACGTCATGCGCTGATCCACACTAGACTGACCTCCCCATCCCTGGGGGAGGAGGGGGGGGGCTGCGAGCCGCGAGAGCGTCGCCGTGTTCGAGGGCTGCTGGGTGGTCCAGCACAGGGGCGCCCCGCGCGGATGCAGATGGGCAACGCGCGGTGCAGGGAGGGTGCGGAGAAGCCGGCGGGCGAGGTCGGCCTCGCTCGCGTCTGCCTCCTGCGCGCCAGCTGTGCACAGCTGGTCCTCTCCAGGGCGGCATGACGCGGGCCGCACCGCTTGTCCAGCGCGCCGCTGGAAAACGATCGCCGTGCTCCTTCCGCATCATGGCTCTTTCCTTGTTGTCCACGTCCTCCTTCCACCGTCTCACTGCTGTTGTCGCGTGAGCGGTTCGTTCCCTCCTCCGTCCTTCTCCTGCACTCCGTTCCCACCCTCGTTTCCTCTTCGGGCCTGGTGTCTCGGTCCTCGTCCTCCTATTGCTGTCCTTTGGTCGTGCAGCGCGCTCGCGTTTCCCATATAGCTTGCACAACCAATGACAGATACTGCACTGCCATCAGCCATCGTACCCTAGACCAACTCCATTCGTCACGGCATACAGATGGGTTGGATACGTCGCGGAGTAATTCTAAGTGATCGCTTTCAAGTCCTCGCTACTCGTCGTGACTCGGAGAACGGATGGGTGTGCCAGGGACTCGCTTGGACCCCCCCTTGGCGACGCCTCCAGCGCCGCTCCTTGCGCGCTCCGCGCGCCAGCCCTGCGCGCGGATCTCCGACCATTCACGTGTTTACGCCGTGTTTGTGTTCTCCTGGCCCACGCGAATGTGGCCGCTGCCCGACGCTGCGCCCCTCAGGAGCGAGCGCGGGGACATGCGTGGGCTCCATAGCGGCAGCGCTGCCATCCACCCATTCGGCTATGTCTGAGCGCGCTGCGTAGATCGACGTTGTCAGGGGGGGAGGTTGAGAGTGAGACTCATCACCGCGTGCTTTCCGCATTCGGGGTACGCTGACGCACAGGCGCACGAAATATATGCAACTTCGGAAGAATTGCGTTCGGAAGCCGTTCGCGAGAAGTCCAAGTGCTACACCGAAGCGGATGTCAATGCACAAGTGGGTAATTGGGCACAGGGCGGTGATGCTGGAACGATTGAACACCACGGTGTTGGCAGGGTGAACTCCAAAGGCGAATCGTTGAAAGTTTGGGTTGCCTGTGAGAACATGTTTCAATTCAACACGGACGTTTCACAGAGACCACACGTATGGCAATGTTTGGAATGAAAAGCAGATCTACCAGATTGTAGTGGACAGGAGGGCATTGCGTCACGTCGCCGAAGCAGACGCACATTCGTGCATCGGCCTGGACTCTGACAACAAAGTTGCCCGAGTGAACATTACAATCCAAGTGAGTCGGAGGAAACGGCGAAAGACACGACACCCTAAGACAATTCTACAACGCAAGACGGTTGAAACAACGCAGTACAAACGTGGACTGCACGAACGATTTTCATTGCTGTGGAGTCGCGGAGGGCATCCCAGGGACGAGCCGATTGAAGACACGATGTTGAATGCCGCCGCGTCGACCGCTGAAGTTGCGCAGTCTCCTCAGACCGCCAACGGCAGACCAACGAGTGAGACCCTCCAGCGGTTTCTCGGTCATCGTAAGTTTCGTCGACATGATCTTGGCGGGCGTTCAAACAAGAGCAAGAAGGTCCATTGGGAATTGCGAAGACTACGCCGTCTAGAGTGCAAAGAGCGAGGCAAAGAAATAGTAGGATCGGTCGAAGGACTGTAAACCATACCTTTCATCAAAGACAGATGTAAACGCAGACTGGTCAATTCCATGCTGGCCTCCGCTGGCGAAGAACAAGTGGACAGGCAATCCATGGCAGACGTAGTTGCAGATCTTTGTGTTGACGTATACACATCTGGATAATCAGCCAGCGTGCCCGCAGAAGGAGCGCCCATGGCTGATGGCGAAGGACGAACACCATTCACGAACAATGAGCTCACCGATACAGTCTGGCACTTGCGTCGCGGACGTTGGAAAGACACTTCTGGCATCATGGTGGAC